CACACAAACACTCCATCCACACTTTTGTTCTGGCCCTCCGGTCCAGTTTAAGAACCCATTGTGGCCCTCGAGTCAAAAAGTTTGCCCACCCCTGGTCTACGGCCATGGTTGGCAAACTGCGGCTCGTGAACCACATGCGGCTCTTTGGCCCCTTGAGTGTGGCTCTTCCTAAGCCTTAGAAGTACCCTAATTAAGTTAATAACAATGTACCTACCTATATAGTTTAAGTTTAAAAAATTTGGCTCTCAAAAGAAATTTCAGTCGTTGTACTGTTGATATTTGGCTCTGTTGACTAATGAGTTTGCCGGCCACTGGCCTAGGGCCTATTTTTCTTTTCAAATAAAAACCTATTATCACTAAGCACGCCAGGCTTGCGTTCTATGGTGTTCTGGTGGAATAGCGCACCTTTTAGCATTACGTTGTAGCATCTCTGCCAACCATACAGAACAGAGCTGAAAGCGGTTCTCAGAGACGCGCGCTGGCTGACCTGGGCGCCATACACTGGCAGTGGGCATTAGAGACAGACGGGCATGGCCCCATGCACGATGGTGCGCAAATTCCCCCAAAGCGTTCCTTTTTTTAAAGAGGAAAAAGAGGGGAGGGGAGAGTGCTTTACTCGTTTCAAATATTAGTTTTGCCGTCTCCAAAACATGACTTCGTTTTCATAACAGGACAATGGCCGGGCTTGCTTACTCTGGCATGTGCCTGCCTAAAGCTCATGAGCCGCATTGCAGTCTTATATCCCGGGGAACTCCCGTCGGTAGCTTTGTCCCGCCTGGAGAACCAGGCGGCCTTTTATGCAGGAGGGTGGGGGGCGCAGAAAGGGGTGCGCGAGCAGTTGCTCGTTTATTTGGCAGAACTTTATCGTCGTCCGAACCGCAGACAGTGAAGCTCAGTTCTCAGAGAAGCTTCTGCGGGGACGGCGGTTTCCGTGCGGAGGCGACTTGGAACGGCGGGGGGCGAGCAGGCGGGGCTGCGCTCATGGAGAGGGAACGGGAGCTAATGGAGCGAGGGAGGCGGCGGTGCCGTGATGACCGGACACCCGCGCCTGACCCTGTGCCCGCGAAGGGCCC